TCAAGATCAATATAAGATATCTTGAATTTTTTAAATGGAACCATATTTTTAAAAAATATGTTGGGGGTATTTAAAAAATTTTTAATTAATGATTTTGTCCTGATGTTGGCAACTCCACTCAAAATAATAAGATCTGCAAATAGATATTGTTAAACCCTATACAATTTTTATTTGATATTTTTTCTGATTAAGATCGAAATATTCAATTGTATCCAGCCTTTGGGCTTTGTATAAGATTCTGCTTTTAATTATTAATATAATATATTATTATATAATTATATTATTAATATAATAGGTAATTAATAATCTGTTTTTAACATGTTTTTAAATGCTTCTAAGTTTATATAATTTCTGCAATTTTAGGATATGTGTTCGCGTATTGTGTTCCAAATAACTAAATAACTGATTCTATATTAAGTTTAATCCTTCTGTTAACTTTAATTTCTGATTTTTTTGTAGTAATTCTAAATTTTTTGTTTAATTAATTTTTATTTTTTGTATTAATCCTACTTATTAATGAAATAGGAAAGTAAGAATATGTTTTGAAAATATACCATTGAAAGAAATAAAAAATACTGTTTTTTCAAAAGATATTTAAAACTATTTAATTTTAATAAACCTTATTACCAATGTCGATCCTTTTATATATATTATTATTAATATTCAGACTATATTTATATAGATATCTGTATGTATAATATACTGTATGTATAATTGATATTTATTAGATTTTTGCATGGATATTCATACAATTTTATATATATATCTTAAGGAATGTATATAAAATTGTATGAATATCCATGCAAAAATCTAATAAATATCAATTATACATACAGATATCTATATAAATATTGTCTGAATATTAATGTAAATGTCCAATGGATATTGAGGGACATATTCTATGAATATTTATAGAACATTGGATGGATATTTACATAAAAATCTAATAAATGTTCAGTATACATGCAATGGATATCTACAGAAATATCCAGCGGATCTTATATGAATATCTACTGAATATTTATGTAGATATCTTATAGATGTGAGAGCTCTAATAAATATTTAATATACATATAAAAGACATTGATATAGATATATAATGGATATTAATCTACATATTCCATGAATATATATATGGAACATGGAATGAATATCCATGCAAAAATCTAATAAATATCCATCATACATACAATAAATATCTACAGAAATATTTACTGGATCTTGTATGACTATCTAGTGGATATTTATGAGGATATCCTATGGATATTTATGAGATCTCGAATGGCGGACATTTGGATATTTAAAGTACGTCTAATAGATGTTTTCTATATATTCGTGGATATCCATAATGTCCATTGTGGATATCCATTAGATATATAATAGATATTATTTTCTGTGTGGGTAGGTTACTATAGCGTTCCCTTTTATAAAAAAAGATTCTGATATAAAACAAAATAAGAAACATTTGCTTTTCCTGAAAAAAAAGAAAGTTAAAACAAATAAAAATTAATGGATTTTTAAGGATACATGTACACTCAGTTATAGAAATACTTCAACATATGAATTGAAAATTAAACTTTTGAAATTTTACATTCTTGAGTAATATTCTTAAGAAATAATTTTTTTATTATAAAATTATCAATATTATATAATATATATAGTGTATTTTATCGATAATGTAGAAAAAAGAGAAAAATAGTATTAACTTAAATATACATAATATATAAATATATTTAATTTTTAAATATTTATAAAAAATATTCTTGATATACATTTTTCCTTATATTTTCTATACTTTTTTATAGTTTCTACATATGTATGTATATTATAATAGGAATATCTTTTTATTATTTTTTATTATATTTCTTGTCTGAAATATATTGCTAAAATGATACTTTTTTAATATAATATTAAAAATATGTTTTTAATATTTTTAATATTAAAAATATGTTTTTAATATTTTTAATATTAAAAACAAATGCACTTTAATGTAAACAATGCATTAAAATTAATAATTACACATATCTTTTAAATTTCTTCTTGTTGTACTAGACCAATTTGTAGAACTTAAAATCGATTCAAATTAATGTAGAATAATTAATTAATCGTAATCAACATAGACATTTTTTAAATTGTAGTAAAAACAATAACAAAGTACTGTCAAAACTATGAATAAAAAGCAACATTTTTCATTATAATTTGAACTATAACTTCTTTAATTAAATTTCATATGTAATTTTGTATTAAATTTTATATAAAACTTTAATTGAATTCTATATAATTAATAAGAAATGAGAAAAATATACAAAACTGACAATAATACTATTCTGATAATTCATTAATATTATGTGTAAAATACACTATTATAATAATATTATGTGTAAAATACAGTTTCAATGAAGAAAATCTACAAATAATAAGTTTTTATTTAATATATATTATTATTATTCAAACATTGTTTGAAAATTGCATAAATTAACTTGTGTCAAAAGTTGTGTACTTCATCCATTCTTTTTAAATCAGCATACATCAGTCAACAATATGCAAAATTTTTTTAAATTCTATATATTTTTTTTATATTTACTTGTTTTTCAGTAAAATCATTAAAGTATAATTTGGCTACTAAAATTTAAAATATTATATAATAACATCAATTCAGCATATGCAATGACATATGAAGTGCTAATAGAATTTGAATTGATAAATTTTGTATACATTATATATAACTTTGTATCCTCGAGAGGAATCAATATATACTGTACATTATATATAAAAAGGTACTGCTTCTTATTTTAATTATATTAATTTTAAATTAAAATTATTAGAAAACATTTTGATTCTAAATAAGAAGCTGATAAAATTGATATTATGCTCGATACATAGTATCATTGTATTGTATATATACATATAGATATGTTTCTTACCAGTTTTGTCTTATTTATTATTGCATATACATATATTGCATATTTGAGAGCTAAATTACTTATTCCAACCAATTATTTGTACAGTGGCTTCACTATTAAATTGTAAAAAATTTTTTAAATCCAATTTCTTGTTATTCTTTTCAAATAATTTTATTTGAAAAATTAAAGTAATGTAACTTGTCATTTTCCTATAATGTGAAAAATATATTTTTATTTTATTAAAATAAAAACCTGTTGTTTGAGTAAAATTAACGCATTTAAATTAAAAATTATGCATGTGTGAGTGTATGTGAGTATGTGTATGTGTGTGCGAAATGACAATAATTCACAATTTAGTATACATATGAATACATATGTGATACATATGAAATTATGAAGTTCTAATAGAACCTGAATTAATAAATTTTGATATCTTTTTAGTATTAACTTTATATATATATATATATATATATATATATATATATATAAAGCTGTTGCTTATTTTAATTATATTAACTTTGAATTAAAATAATTCAAAAACATTCTGATTCTAAAGCAGAAGCTAAAATTAATATTATGCTAGATATGTACATCAATGTTATTACTTATTATATTTATTTGTGTTAATAAAAGATTAACGTTAAATTACGTTATTTAATAATATTCAATAGATTTGTAGAATTGTATATGTATATGTATAAGTTCTTTTATCTGTTCTGTCTTATTTATTAAATTTGCATATTTGCATTTATGGGCCAAATCAGTTTTCCAAGCAATTATTTGTACAGTATAGCTTCATTGTTACATATAAGAAAAAATTTTAAAAATCTCATTTTTTGTCATTTTTTTTCTTGAAATAATTTTATGTGAAAAGTTAGAGTCACGCAATTATTTACCTATACTTATGTGATATATTTTATTATACTTATGTGAGAGATATATTTCCTATACTTATGTGAGAAATATATTTTATTAAAATAAAAAGCCTGTTGAGTAAAATTATCCCATCTAACAATAAATTAAAAATTGTGTGTATGTGTGTGTATGTGTGTTTGTGCGAAGTAACAATTTATAATTTAGTATGCGATACATATTGTGTTAATAGAACTTAAATTAATAAGTTTTAGTATCTTTTTATTATTTGCATTATATATGTATATAAAACTGCTTATTTTAATTATATTAACTCTGAATTAAAATTATTAGAAATATTCTGATTCTGAAGAAGCTAAAATTGATATGGACATCTAGATATAGACATCCCCAATAAGCAAAATGTAAGCAGTATGTCGACAGACTGGCAACAGATTTGATCAAACCATGTCAGCAGAATGACATCTACTGCGTCCTCATTTTGCTTCTAATCTGCTAGCAGAACCTGCTCACAGAATCGGATATCAGATTGTCGGCAGAAACTGAGCAGGATCTGCTATCAATGCTAACATGACTTGATGTCAGACTGTTAGCAGAAATCGAACAGGATCTGCGCGTGCAATTTGATGTTAGATTGTCCGCAGAAACCGAACAGAATCTGCGGATGCAACCTGATGGCAAATGGACAGTAGAAATTTCACAAGATTTGCACTTTTATTAATATTATATAAATGCAACAAAATTGATTATTACAGGTGCTAAATAACAATATTATCGGCAAGTTAATTAGAATTTTCTTATAGAAAATGACATATATGTAATATGTTATATCATAGTTATATTTCATATAGCGAAGGACTAATTTCAATTCTATTTAATTAAATTAATAATAAAGTAAATGTAACTTGTAAAACTTGAGATGTAATTTATTTAGAATTAAATTCTTGCTTTATGCCTCAAATAGCCAGTGCATGAATAATTTTCCATATATTATATTGATTCCAATCAGTTTAATATTCTGAATTCTGACTCTCATTTGCTTGTATCAGATATCAGAAATTAAAGTGAAAAATTAAAATGATAATTACTATATTTTTAGTCTTTTATTCATATTCGTGACTTTATATATATTTCTGACAGAAATTCAATTACGAGAAAGTACAGCTCACGTAGCGGTAAGTGAAAGAACTATCGAATCATGCAAATCCTGTTCCATTTCTGCCATCAATCTGCTATCAGAGATTGTATGCGCAGATCCTGTTCGATTTTTGCCGACAATCTGTTGTCAAATTGCATCGCACAGATCCTGTTCAATTTCTGCCACCAATCTGCCACTAAGTTATGCCGGCAGAATCTGTTCGATTTTTGCTGCCAATCTGGTAACTGATTATGTTAACAAGCTTTGTTATATTTCTGTTGACATTCTGGCGACATCACATGATATATCAGAACCTGCATCGATTCTGTAATCTTTCTGTCGACAACAATTTCTAACAGATTCCCTGACAAGATCTGCTTTAGCAGACTTGGCTATTGGGGATCAATATTATTATTTACCTTTATTATTTATTGTTATTAGAAGAAGAAGTTTATTGTTTCCCTTTTCAGGCATACAATGGCGCTTTTCAAGGGAGCATTCCCGAACCCTGTACAATACCTGCTCCCCCTATCCCCTCCGACCTGGCCATTGGGCAGCCATTACATTCTAACACCCCTCCCTCCCCTCGGCCACCCCTCACCATTTCACTCTGCCTCACCCCCTGTTAACACCTCTCCTCCTCTAATCCTCCACTTTTCTCCTTGCCATTTCGCCTCATGTCCTCTCCTTCCCTTCTTCCGCTTTGCCCCGCCACGACCTCATTCTTCCTCCTCTCCACCGTACGGGGCTCTTTCCTTTCTCTCTTGCTCCTCTGCCTCTCCCCTAATCCTCACTAGCCTTCTCCTCCTTTGTCTCTCCTTCAGCATTACCTCCAACTTCTTATCTGAAACGAATCTAATCACAAACCCTGACCTTTCCCTCCTCCTCTCTACATATTCCCCCACTCATTCTTCCCTCCCCCTGTCCCCCTATCACAGACCTTACCATCTCTCCCCATCCTCCTTTCCCCTTTCACCTCAATCTCTTCCCCTTTCTACTCCCCCTTTTCCATTTCCTCCCTGATCCTCCCCCTTTCATCTCCTATCCTCCAATTCCTCCTACTCCTCCTTCTCACTCATACCTCTCCTCCGCGTTTTCCTCCTCCGAACCCTCTGACCCCTCCGTCCACCTGTCCTCCTCTGCGTCCCACCGCCAAACCTCCCCGTTCACCCACATCTTCCTGTTCCCTACCACTACCTCGTTCCCCTTTGCCTTCTCTATCCTCGTCCTTTCCACTAGCCTCCACCTAACCTTCCTCTCCTCCATTGTCAAATCTTCGTCTACCCCTATCCCCCAGTCCCTGTTTATCCTCCCACCTCTCTCTAAAATCCCTTCCCTATCCCTCTTCTTTGCCATCCTTACTATTAATACCGTGCCCGCCGTCCCTTTCCTTTCTACTACCTCTCCTACCTCCACCTTCCTTCCTAGTTCCACCTCCATTATTCTCTCCATTATCCTCCTCCTCTCTTCCGCACTACCTCCATCTATCCCTCTCCACACTAAATTCATTCTCTTCTCTCTCCTCCTTCTCCTCTCCTCCTCTCTTTCCTTCTCCTTCCTCTCTGCCTCTCTCCTTTCCCTACTCCTCCTCCTCCTGTCTCTCCTTTCTTCAAATCTTCTCCATGCTTCTTCCATTTTTACCCTGTCCTCTTCTTCCTTCCTCTCTTCTCTCTTCTTCTCTCTCTCCTTCTTCCCATCTTCACTCCTCTCCTTCTTTTTCTCCTCTTTCTCGGCCACCAGCTCCCACCATTCTTTCCTACAACTTTCCTCTTCTGAACTCTCTCCCTCCCACTTCCTCGCCGACTTTCCTACTTGCCACTTCACTCTCCTCTCTTCCGTACTCTCAATCTTCCCTCCCCTCTTGTCATTCCTCCTTCCCCCGTCCTCTTCTGCCTGCACTCTTTCCTCCACTTCATCTTTCTTTCCTCCCTTCCGCTCCAGCCTCCTCCTTTCCTGCTTCCGATCTACCTCCACCTCTTCCTTCCCGTCCGACCTATGCCTCCTGTTCTCTTCCTCTCTGTCCTCCCTGTCATCCTTCGCTCCTCTCTCTTCTTTCCGCGTTCCTGTCTCTTCCTCCTTCTGAAAAATCTGCGCCTCCGTCCTCACCTCCTCATTCCTCTTGTCTCCCTCCCGCTCCACCTTCCTCTCCATTCCTCTCCGCCTCTCCTCCATCTTCTCCGCACTCCTCCTTCCTAACTCCCTCATTCTTCTCTTTCTGTCCGCACTTCTCCATCCTCTCTAACCCACTCACCACTACCTTCATTAGCCCCACCATCTCCTCCATCACCCTCCTTATCTCCCTCAGCTCCTCCACCACACCATCACACCTTCCAGCCATTTTCACCAATCCTTCCTTCTCGCCACACGTGCTATCACCAACAGTCACCATCTTCTTATCGATCTGTCGATTTGTCGATCCTTCCTTCGATACTACCGCCTTTGCGCGCCATCTACTTTCTTTCCTTCTCTCCACCTCGTCCGCCACTCTTCTACCCCAGCGCCCTCTCTAATCTCCACTTCCTTAACTCTGTCCTACCCATAGACTTATACAAATAGACTGCGTATGCAATGCAAAACGCTGGGGGCAACATAGGAGTGGTGGGGATAGCGCTTGTGGGCTTCCGTCTCTTTCTAACCGCATGCTGTCTCTCTCCATCGTGGAAAGTGGTGGGGCTGAAGCAGAAGGGAATACATCAATCTCCTCCAGTCCCTTTTTAGTAAAGTTACATGATGTACATATAGTAAACAACAAAATAAAAACAAAATGGTTTTGTGCTGTTGTATTTGTAAAATAAGTTTTGGTGAAATTGAACATCTTTCGTTTCATAGGCAAGTATACATTTAAATGCTTTTGTAGGTAAACTAATTTATTCTAATTTGAGGTTATGTATTAACATGTCTTGCTTTTGTAATTTTAGTTTGCCATCTAATGAAAGCTCCAAGGTCGAATGGCTTTCAGCTATTAATAAAACTGTAAGTAAGAGCAGCCGAGTTTGCAGCAGGCATTTCAAGTCTACAGATTTCAAGTACAAAATTCAAAATGGCAAAATCTGTAAGAGTTTGACCTCAGATGCTGTTCCATCATTAATGTTGAATACAAGGTAAAAATGTATTGAATAATCTTTTGTACTCAAAGCAGTTATCCATGTCTGACTAATATTAATTCCATGTATAGCAGTGAGGCAGAAAATATTGAACCAACTACACCAGATACATTAGATAGTAGTAGTAATATATTATGTGAAAATTTATTACTTGCTACTTCTTCAACTGATCTTCAAAATAACCAAGAATGTTTCCAAAGTTGGTACGTACTTTTTTTTGAAAAATCTTTTGAATGTTTGAAGATCATACTATTTTGTAATATATTTATATCATTGCAGCCAAAACATCTGTGATAAAGAGTCGCATAATGAAGACTCGCAAACAGATAATGAAGTAATAACTTTAGAATCAAGATCAAAGAATCCCATTGACAGCTCAACAGCTGCTCTCTCTCCAAATGCTAATCCTGTATCATTAAAAAGGTAAAACTTTATTAATTTTTTTTATATTTATATGTACACCAATATTATTTGTAGTAATGCAATGTCTAAAGAAAAATTGTTATTTAAAGTTTTACGTATTATTTGCAGAAGAAACAGTAATTCAGAGTTTAAGCATATCCCAAAGCGTCCTAGACACATTAGATATATTGGAGATGTGACTAGGGATGATTTTACTTCAGATCAAGCTTTTCTAGTCGTTGAAAAATATTACAAAGAAACAAAAAATAAACTGAAATTAAAAGATAAAAACATTAGTCGTTTCAAGAAAAAAGTCAGCACTTTCGAAGATCTTTTGGATCACTTAAAAGAAGTTGGACTTATTTCTAAAGAAGGACTTGATGCTGTAAAAGTAAGATTGTAATTTTTTTTCCTTTATTTAGGATTTTTACAAAATAAAAATAAAAATTTATCAATTGTTTTGTTATTACATAATCTTCGTTTTTCTTTTTTTGTTTTCAGTTACATTCCTCACCCGCTCTTCCTGAAATAATGAAAAACATTCTTTCTACCAAAAAATATAACTCCTACTCACCAGCACTAAAAGACTTTGCTTGTTCCTTATTATTTTATTCAAGTGCAGCATACAAATTCGTAAGGGATCAATTTTTAGAAGCTTTGCCTTGTCCTCAAACGGTTAGAAGATGGTTTGGGAATATTCATCTTGGTCCTGGCATTAGTAAAAATGTACTAATAAGCTTGAAAAACATGATCGAAGCAGTTTAAATGGGAAAGAGTTGCAATTTGGACTCCAATTGGATGAAATGTCAGTAAAAAAGCTCATTGAATTGAAACATAATGTATGGTATGGATTAGTTGACATTGGAGGTCTGGGAAAAAACAATTCTGAAGAAGCTTCTTATGTTTTGGTGGCTATGCTCGTGTGTCTAAATGGACACTTTAAAACTCCAGTAGCGTATTATTTTATAAAAAGTCTTTGTGGCCAGGCAAGATCAAATATGCTACAGGAAATCCTGTTAACACTCCATGAAAATGGAATAAGTGACGTTCGTTCTGTCACTTTCGATGGTGCATCAAGTAATTTGAGTATGGTTTCTGAACTTGGCGCTAATACTACGGACATCGATCAAAAATGTTCATTTGAACACCCAACGACGGTAAATATTCGGAAAATGGTACACCTCACCGATTTCATCGCTCTTTGGATATGTTGTAGAGGAAGTTATTCTGAGTAAACCTCCGCAAAAATCAAGTGGGGGACGACATTGGTTTAGGAGATATAACAAGTTGAAGTTTCAAAATTTTAATGCTTCTTGCCGCAATATCTCACCATTATACGACTCTATTCAAAAATGTAAACATGTTTACGTTCTCAAAAGCACATGTTTGCGTTACAAAGTACACGCCCAGACTGCACACCCCCCCACCCCACCCCCACCTCCCACCCCCCCGTTGCGAACCCATGTGAAATCTTCCTTTGCATGGAGTTTGCAACGGGGGGGGTGGGGGGGGGTGTGCAGTCTGGGCGTGTACTTGTAGGGGTGAACCTTGCTTCGCGTGAAAAGTACAATTATAGACCTCGCTTCGTACCGAAAGCAGGGGATGGTAAAGGTGGACCTCGCTTAGTACCGAAAGCAGAGGATGATAGAAGTGAATTTTGCAAATGTATAACACCGATATCACACAAAACTAAACATGTTTACATTTTTAAATAGAGTCGTATAATGGTGAGATATTGCGGCAACAAGCATTAAAATTTTGAAACTTTAACTTGTTATATCTCCTAAACCAATGTCGTCCCCCACTTGATTTTTGCAGAGATTTACTCAGAATAATTTTCTCCACAACATATCCAAAGAGCAATAAAATCGATGAGGTGTACCATTTTCCGAATAATTACCCCAACGACAAATGAACCAGTTATTGTCATACCCGATGCATGCCATATGATAAAATTAGTTCGAAATACATTAGCTAAATACGACTTCATTGATAGTGACAAGAAAACAATTACTTGGCGTTTTATTGTAAAATTAGTGAATTTTCAAGAGCAAGAAGGTACGCATCCAGGTACAAAAATTAGGCGAAGGCACATTGACTTTTACGGCGAAAAAATGAAGGTCAAATTAGCAGTGCAAACTTTAAGTACGCGAGTATCTGACGCTTTAAGATACTTAGAAATGAAATCACTCGATTTTAGTGAAGCAAGTGTAACCGCTTTATTTTGCAAAAATTTTAATGATGCTTTTGATATTCTCAACTCAAGATGTAGGTTTGGAAAAACTGAGTTGAAAAATGGCATATCCAAATTAAATCTTGAACAATTAGAAAAACACATTGATTACTTAGTTGATTACATCAAATATTTAAAAGTAAATGAAAATGGCAAAATCAAAGACGTACTGGCAAGTAGTCGTCGAATTGGATTTTGGGGAATAATTACTGGGCTAAAAAACGTATTAAATCTTTCAAGATATTTATTTCAATATAAGCTTATGGATTATTTGTTAACATACAAATTGTCACAGGACCATCTGGAGACATTTTTTTCATGTATTAGAAAAATGGGAGGGTTTAATAACAACCCGACTTGTTATCAATTTCAAGCATCTTATAAAAAACTAGTCAGTCATGTAAATACTATAGAGGTTTCTGAAGGCAATTGTAGCGCACAGGACGGCACAGCAATAATTAGAACGAAAAATTTTAAAAGTTTGAATGCTCGTGAATCGGAAAATATTATGGTTGATATTGATCATGATTATGTAGGTAGTAATGGTTGGTCTTGGACTGATTACCATTACGATGTCGTCACTTACATTGCTGGTTATATCGTGTATAGTATTAAAAAAACATTGCATTGTCAGATGTGTCTTGATTGCTTAGAGACACAAGAAACTTCCTGTGATTTAATAAATATAAAAAATAGGCAAAGAGAAGATACACCAAAGAGTGGCTTAGTATTTCCTAGTCAAGATGTAGTAAGTATTTGCAAAGTTGCTGAAAAAATCGTAAGAATGACGCCAAACCTTTTTAGTTATAGAAACATTGTTGATATTATGGTGTTGCGTGCCAGGTGATTAGTGTTACCTATGAATATTTTTTCAAATTTACATATCTATGTTGAAAAGGATATTTTATTTAGTCACAAAGCACAATTGGTTGATAATATTTTAAAAAAATATTTTACTGTTAAGTTACATCACGAAGCTAGCTCTGCTCAACAGAAAGTTAAACGCGTAAGGACTTTTCATCACAGGCTAGTCATATACAAAAATCAATAAAATTTGTTTCATTAGTAATATTTGTTTATGTTCAATTCTTTTTTTGATGCTTTTTAGAATTTCGTAACTCTGTTGTATACAGAGCTAAGATTTACCAAAATGATGCATAATTCACATTCTATACAATAAAAAGTTCAATTCTATTCACTCTCGTTTTATTATTTTTCCCTCTTAAAATAATTTGTTTTCTTTAATTTTACTGTATTTCATCCTGGAAAATGTTTTTTGTAGAAATTAATGTGCATAATTTTTGTAAGCTAACAAATTGTTATTGAATTTTATTTGCAATTACAATAAATGTCTTTTAATGTCTATAAATATTTATCAAGTCCAAAATTTTTTTATGTATTTTATTATGCTCATACTATCGCATTTAAATAATATTAAATATTACCAAAATTCTATTCAATGTGCTTTATATAAATTGTATGCAATTTTTTGGTACGTAGCAAAATGTTTGTTCACATTTTTTGATTAAAAATCTTATTATTAAAGTTAAAAAATATATTTATATAAAATATACAGTTACTGTACCGTGAGTGTATAAAGTATTTTGATAGAATTACTAAAAACTATTTTGATTATATTAGTAGAAACTTAATTATTTAATTAATAAAAATTACGCAAATCTGATTCGACTTCACAACGAAAATGCTGTTTACAACGTAATTCAAATCATTTTATTTTTACAGAATAATAACAATCAAAATAAAAATAATAATAAAACTAATAATAATTATTACAATTATTACAAAAAAAATGTACCTGGGATTCGAACCCGGATTACATGGATGCGAGTGAACACCTTAGTCGACTAGGCTACGATGTTCATCATTAATAGATATATGAAACTTATATTTAAGGTGTATTCGGGAGGGGGGACTTATGTTCAAGAGTTTAGGTTGGGTTGATTTACATACAGAATATCATTCTAGATTATCTGTATATCAGATCTAATTTTATTCAATTAAAATCGCAAGATAAGAATGGAAAGGGTTTTTAGAAAATTGGCTCTGGGAGGAGGGAGGACATTACTTTCATAGCGTGAGTAGAGCCTAGGCCCGGGGCGCGGTGGAGGGTTTGTCCGCCCCACCACTTTCCACGATGGAGAGAGACAGCATGCGGTTAGAAAGAGACGGAAGCCCACAAGCGCTATCCCCACCACTCCTATGTTGCCCCCAGCGCTTTGCATTGCATGCGCAGTCTATTTGTATAAGTCTATGGTCCTACCGTACCATTTCCTCCCACCTACCGCACTCGCCCCTCATCCTCCTGTCTTTCCCCCTCTCCACACTCTTCCTTACTCAGCACTTTCTTCTCACATTTTCCAACTCCTTCGTTCTTCTCCTCCACCCTTTTCCCGTCACTGCCTCCATGCTCTCTTGATCTCTCCTCTCTCCCTCCTCCAACTCTCACGCTTCAGTTACTCCTCCATCCTCCACTCTCTCCACTTTCACTCCACTACTCTTTTCCGGCCTGTCTCTCCTCCAACCCAACATGGCCGCGCCCCTTATTTATTGTTATTATTTATTATATTTATTTTTATCTATTATATATATTTTTGTTATAATAAACAATAAAAGATTAATATTAAATTATTTATTAATATTTAATACATTTATAGTAATTGTATATATATATATATATATATATATTTTATTACCTGTTCTGTCTTATTTATTAATGGCCAAATCACTTATTCCAAGCAATTATTTGCATACCGTGGCTTCATCGTTGCAAGAAAAAATTAAAGATAACCTATTTCTTGTCAGTGATCATTCTTTTCGAAATAATTTTATTGAAAATTTAAAATCACGTAACCTGCTATTTTCCTATATATACGAGTATGTGAGAAAGATATTTTATTAAAATAAAAAGCCTGTTAAGTAAAATTAATGTATTTAAATTAAAAATTGTGGGTGTGCATGTGTGCATGTGTGTATGTGTACGGAATAATTAAAAATAACCTGATTTGCTATTACGTCCGTTCTCATAAGAGGTCGACAATGGCACAGTATATTTTTTTTTTCATTTTTTATGGCCGTAATTGATCTGAACAACGATCAATATACTCAAGGCCAACAACTGATTTAAATTTTGTCTACGGCTAAAGTCCTCATAAGAAGTTAAACTCAAAAATTCTTGTTCGAAGGACACACACGTAAAACATGTCCGCACCGGTTCAAGGCCGGTAACGGTCTCACGGTACAGTATATACAGTAGTGCCGATTCTCTGTCGGCATCTTTGAGTGACTGATCTGAAATTGTATATTTCAAATAAATCACCCAGTATAGTGTATGTCCCAATGTCAGATGTCTCGTCCTGTATAGTGTATGTATAATAGGTTAGAAAAAGAGATAAAGAGAGAGCAAGCGAAACAGAAGGTCACTGCCGTGATTGGTTCCCTACCAAATCCGCGCATGTGCAGTTCATTTTTACCCATGCTGAAATTACCAAAGTTGCGCTACTATATATACTGTGACAACGGACTGACGAATGTCAACAAATAACGAATGGTGACATCCTAGCTTCCTTTTCGCGACGCTCAGCATCATGATATCTTTCTTTAATATATAATGAGCAACAAAGATAAAATGCTTTCAGCGCGTCCAAAGGAAACGCAAAGAAATTGACCAATCACAGTACGTAGTAATAATTTCGCTTGCCTTACGATGCACTATGATTGATCGTGTATAGTCAAAGATTATGATTAAAGATTAAAACATTTTTATATACAAATGCCTTAAAAATGTTCTATGTCCACGATACAGAACTTAGTCCGAGTTCTCGGTTTAAGAAATGCGTAACTAATAAAGCTTGATTTATGCAGACCGTAACTGGTAATTTATGCCGTAAACTATAAGAAATTAACCAATTATAGTCGATTATTCTTCTCATCCTTAATTTTGATTAGTCAATTTCTTACAGTTTACGATACTTACCAGTTACGATCTGCATAAATCAGGCTTAAGATTACTGCTTTTCCATAAAAATTGCAAGTTGATTGATTAAACATTTTTGGGATCAAGAAAGTTCTAATATTCATGAACACTGAGTCTCTAAAAAAGTTAAATGTTTAATTGATATCGATACTTGAAACTCGAATATCTCGAAGTATTGAAAGTTGAAACCTCTTTTTGCGATGCTAATTGTCTATGCAGATTCATGTTGTTAAACTGTTAAACTGTCAAACAAATTTAAATAGATTTGAACACAAATTTATTTTAACAATTTATAGAAAATAATAGATGTAAAATATAAAAAAAAGGAAGAAAGAAAAAAAAGAAAACGATAGAGAACAAAGCAGATAAAGAAGAAGAAGCGAATAAAAAGAAGTATGCATAAATGTGTAAATAAATTTTAATATTATATGTAAATATGTAAATAATTTTTAAATATTCTGCTATTTATAATTGTTATGTTCGTATATATAGCAAAAAAATTAGGAGATCACTTTAAAACTTATAAATTTTATCGACATTTAAAAAATTATATTTCAGCTTCGGGAGGTCGTACAACGGTGTTTCAAAGCGCATTTTAAAGGGTCTCTTTAGTGTCAACTTTAAGGTGTGTAAGGTCGCATTGCGCGCCTCATCGAATTGTATCACGTCTGAGGTCCAAAGTAAGACCATAAAAAAAATTCCAAAAATTTCATGATTTTATAATCATACACGGAGAAAGCAGAAATGGGATAAAATATGCCATTACATTGGCTTTAAAGTGAGCATCTTCCCCTTTAAAATGCGACCACGTAATACAATTCGATCAGACGAGCAATGCGACCTCACACGCTTTAAAGTTGATACTTCACTTTTTAAAATGCGCTTTGGAATACCGTCCTACGACCTCCTGAAGTTGAGATATAGCTTTCCAAAAATCAACAAAATTTACAAGCTTTAAAGTGATTCCCTAATTTTTTGCGTAGTATATATACAATATTAATCTATTTAAGAGTATAAAATAATAATTGCAGAAAAATTGACAAGAAAAAGAATTGTGTAGTGAGAGAAAGAGAGACAAACAGAGATAGAGAAAGAGAAAGAGAAGAAGCACGCGCGCGTATATTCTTATTATTATGATTTTTATTATATGTATTAATTTCATAAATTTTTATTTAAAGAATAAATGGAGAAGGAAAGTTAAAGAAAAATAAAAAAGAAGAAAAAGAGGAGAGAAAATTAAGATAAATATAGATAAATATACATATAAATTAAGATAAATATAAAGAAGAAAGAAGGAAAAAAAAGAAAAAAATAAAAAAGGTAAAAAGAGAAGAGAGGAGAAAAAAGAAAAAGATAAAGAAAGAATCAACATAGAGACAAAAAAATAAAAAAGGAAAAAAAGGAAGAAGTGTTGCATAGAAGGTATATATGTAATATACATATTTTCACATTTTTAATAAAAAAACTTTATATTTGTTTGAGGGGGCTTGTGCCGTAGCGTATGTGTACGCCTATTTTCTTTTCCTGGGAATATATTCTGAAGAATAGTACACCCGAATGTTACAGTACTCGATATTTATTCATAACTCTGCACAGCATACAAAACATGACTGACTTGTACAAAGGAACACACACACTAGTACTACTAAACGAACGCCTGAGGCGCTCAAGGCGTGAGGCAAACGAGGCGCGCGAAGCGCATGACGGGCACGCGACGTACACGAGAAGGACATGTGAAGGATACGTGATGTGCAGGAGCGCAAGCTCAGTGTCGCCAAGGAGTACTCGCAGCTCGCGCATGCTCAAGAACGCAAAAAAAACGCAAAAAGAAACACTGATATAAAAGAAACATGCGTAGCGTGTACAAACCGCCGCCTTTGAAAGCCTTCGCTTTCAATGTAACGACATATAGAAAGGTTTGTTTTATATATATAACGCAATACAAAATTTGCAGATAATGTAATTGGCATGAGAGAATAACTTATAACTAAAATTGTAAGCTTGAAACTAATTATAATAACTTCAAGCTAAATACGCACGCGGAATAAAATATAAAAAATTAAAATTAGAATTAAATCTCAAATGAAAGAGAACACAAACGTGTTATAGGGCGCTTATAGATGCCTTTAGCTGTGCGTACGGTGACGGTTCGAATAAGATTGTCATCACCGGGATGTACCTCTATTATTTTAACAAGAGACCAGGTTAACGGCGAGTTATTATCCTCTTTTAGGAGGACCATCTGTCCGACGTGCATTGGTTTCCCTTTAATTATCCATTTATTTCGTTGTTGACAGTGATGTAGATAATCACGAGTCCATCTTTGCCAAAAATGTTGCCGTATTTGTTCGACATGTTGCCAGCGTGACAAGCGATTTATTGGCAGTTTTTCTATCGATGGTTCAGGATATGAAGTTAACGGACTTCCTATCAAAAAATGTCCTGGAGTTAATAATGTGAGATCTGATGGATCAGAGGACATAGGTGTAAGTGGTCGAGAATTTAAAATTGCTTCAACTTGGATGAGCAGAGTTTCTAATTCTTCATATCTTAAATGGGCTTCCTTGGTTACTCGAATGAGATGACGCTTGGCTCCCTTAACAGCAGCTTCCCAAAGCCCACCATGATGAGGTGCTCTAGGCGGTATGCAATGCCAATTGATCCCTTTGATAGCCATATAATCGCTAATTTGTTGTTGATCCCTTTGCTCGTTAAACAATGCCGCCAATTCACTTAACTCTCGTTTGGCACCTATGAAATTTAGGCCATTATCAGAGTAAATGTCCGAAGGGTATCCTCTTCTGGAAATAAAACGCTTTAAAACATTGAGAAAAGCTTCAGTGGATAAGTCAACCGCTAATTCAATGTGAACAGCCGTTGTTGCAAAACAAACGAAAATTGCCATGTAACATTTCAATAGTTTAGCTGTCTTTCTTGATCCGTCTTTATAATAAAAAGGACCAGCGTAATCTACTCCACATTTTTCGAAAACTCGTTTAGGAACTGTGATTCTGTCCCTGGGAAGATTTCCCATGAGCGTTGAAGACGTTTTTGGAGAACTTCGAAAACAAGTGATACACTTGCGTGTAATTTGTCGTACTACATCTCTGGCAGAGACAAGTCAGTAGCTTTGACGAACAGCAGACAAAGTGGCTTGCGGGCCTGCATGAAAATGTCTTTCATGCTCGTGAATTATAATGAGACGTGAAAATGAATGATGTCCTGGCAGTAATGCTGGATATTTGGCAGTGTATGGAAGGTAAGATAGCTTGAGCCGACCTCCGACTCGTAAAACTCCAGATTCGTCTACAAATGGATTTAGACGTATAATGGGACTACTCTTGCTCAGATCTTGTTGTTTTATGAGTAGTTCCAATTCCTTGGGAAAGTGTAATCTCTGGACCAATTTCACCAAAACTTGAGTAGCATGATTTATCTCATCGGGCGAAACACTGTTATCCGCACCAGGTTGTAGTGGATAACTTCTCGAAGGTTTGATCTTCTTCATTAAGTTGTTAAAAAATCGAAAGATGTACGCTACCACGCGAGTCAGCTTCAAGAATTTTGAGTATCGTTCAAATATGTCGAAAGGTTGTTTCGTTGCGATCATGGTGATGGCAGTAGCCTTATATTCAGGAATCTCCTGTTTGTTTATGACAAAAGGAAATTGAGGCCAGCTCCCTTTGTCGAGATTTAGCCATGTAGGCCCTGACCACCAAAGTTGCGATTGAAGTAGCGATGTTGGAGTCACACCCCTTGAATAAAGATCTGCTGGATTGTCTTGACTGCTGACATGATGCCAGTGATGTGGAGTAGTTAATTGCTGGATCTCACCAACGCGATTAGCAACAAAAGTAGTCCAAGTTCGACTACATGATTGTAGCCAAGCTAATACTATAGTAGAGTCGGTCCATAAGTAAACCGAATCTATTTTGACAGTCAGGCATTTCAGTACCTTGTCGATGAGTTGTGCCAATAATAGCGCTGCGCATAATTCAAGCCGTGGAATAGATAAAGCCTTCAAGGGCGCTACTCGACCTTTCGAACAAAGTAATCTAGTAGAGTGTTTTTCATTGGCATCAGTGACACGCACATACACACATGCTCCATAAGCAATCTCGCTAGCATCCGCGAAACCATGTATTTCTAGCTTGACATAGTCATCCAATGCAATGACTCTTCGTGGTATAAATATATTTCTTAACATTGGTAACTCAGCTTCATAACGTTTCCATTTAGTATTCACATCTAAGGGCAAAGATTCATCCCAGTCAATCTTGAGGCGCCAAAGATCTTGCATAATGATTTTAGCGATGACTGTAGTAGGTCCAAGTAGCCCTAGAGGGTCAAAGATTAATGCAATTCTTGACAATATAGCTCTTTTAGATGGTGTCGACAATGGCGGCAAAGATGCGATATTTGAGAATTTGAAATGGTCTGCCTTACAGTTCCAAACGAGACCTAATGTCCGCGTCTCGTCTTTTTTATCGCACGATAAAACAAATTCCTTTTGAGAATCTAGAAATTGATTGTCTCGAAGGGAGGGTTCATTAGAGGCCCACTTTCGCAATTTAAATCCTCCTTCTATTAGTAATTTAGACGTCTCTGACTTAATAACTAACGCTTCTTGTAATGTGTTTGCACCAGTTACCAAATCGTCCACGTAAAAATCCCTTAAAGCGACTTTGGATCCTTTTGGGTATGCGATGGCATTGTCTTCGGCGAGTTTCCTAAGACATCGAATGGCTAAAAATGATGCGGCAGCGGTGCCATATGTAAGAGTGAGAAGCTCAAAAGTTCGAATTGGTTCGTTCATAGAGTCACGCCACAAAATGCGTTGAAGAGAGGTTTGATTGGGATCTACCAAAACTTGTCTGTACATTTTGGTGACGTCGGCAGTTAAGGCGCACTTGAAAGTGCGAAATCTTGTTAATATTGAGAATAGATCGTCCTGAATCGTAGGACCAACCATCATTGTATCATTTAATGAAATTCCGCTTGAAGATTTGCAGGAACCATCAAAACAACTCTCAATTTAGTCGTGGTGCTCGTCTCTTTGTATACCGCGTGATGTGGTAAATAATAATTCTTGTGGGTTGATTTCAAATGAGAAGTAACTTCACGCATGTGGCCAAGCTGTAGATACTCTTGGATGAATAGCTTATATTCCACATGTAATTTCGGTGATTTTTTAAGACGGTTCTCAAGAGCCTTAAAACGTTTTGTGGCTATTTCTTGGGAATCTTCAAGATTCACTAATTTATCTACTTTGATTGGTAGCTGAACTATGAATCGCCCTTCGTTATTACGCCTTACGGTATCCTGAAATAGACGTTCGCAGGCTTGTTCTTCTGGCGTAACGGACGTAGATGACCCTAAATGATCAATTTCCCAAAAGCGGCTGAGCGCACGATTTAGATCTGTTGTTACAGCTAAACAATTAGAAGCTGAAGAGCTCGAGCTTGAAATATTGCTCGGAGTCGGACCAGATATAATCCATCCTAAAAGAGTTTTTTGTAGAATTGGCTGAGTTCTGGAAGATTTAATCTGACCTGCGCAAATAAGTTTCCAAAATAACTCCACACCAATCAACATATCGATATTAGACGGTATGTTAAAATTAGGATCGGCTAACTTTATGTGTTTAAGTATCGCTATGTCTTGTTTGGGTACAAGTGCTTGAGGCAATTGCTGAGTAATCTGTGGCAAAATTATACATTCTACCTGATAGAGTTTATGCGAGATTGACGCGGGAGGCAAGCGCGAAACCGAAGGATAAAAATCCGCGAGGAGAGAAAACGAAGAGAAATTAATTCGACGATAAATCTAAGTCTTTTAACAATAATAGTCAGTTTATTATAACAATTATAACACTAATTATAATACACAGTCTTAAATTAATTACGCGAAAGCGATTTCAGAATCCGCGAGCAACGGAGACGACTGATTCAATCCGCGAGCAACGGAAGAACGTTTTTTCTCGTGATCGAAAAATAAGTGAGTGCGTCGAGTACCTTTAAGCCAAGAAGCGCCGTGTTCCGCGAGCGCGTCAATTTATAGCGGAGCCCTTCTCGAAAGATCCCGATTTTTCGTGAACTAATATAAATGTTCAAAACGAACGGTTAAGAATTTATTTATTTTCCTTGGATCTTTCGAGAAGGGCAAGCGCTGTTTTTAAATTGCGCTGACAAAGCGATGTCGCGCTAACGGCTGCCAGGGGCGCCGAATGATCGCTCGGACCCTCGCTCCTTTTAGCGAGGGCGTTTTGAACATTTCCGCCCGCCTCGCCAAGAGCGTTTGGCGAAAAGAATGGCTAGCGGAGGATATGCAGCTCGTCGGGAGCTCCGAACTACTGCGATGGAGGCTCGTGATCTCCATGACCGTTGATGGGGAGCACGACGAGCTTCACGACGGGTCGTACCAACTCGGAGGCTGCGGTGCGCAATGTCACTACGCGAACTTGACCATCCTCTCCGGGGTGGATTTTCGCGATACGCGCGAGTGGCCATTTCGTGGGTGGTGTGAGTTCGTTCCGGATGAGGCAAAGTCGGCCGACCTTGAAGCCCGTCTCTTCGCGCAACCACTTAGGACGGTGAGTAATGGAGTGGAGGTACTCCTTCGACCATCGTTCCCAAAAATGGTCTCTCATTTTTTGCAGGAGCTGCCAGCGAGATAAGCGGGACGTTGGTTCATCCAGCAAGGACGGCTCGGGCACTGCAGTCAGGGCGGCTCCCACCAGAAAGTGTCCAGGCGTCAGCGCAGCCAAGTCCTCAGGGTCGTCCGAGAGTGCCTGCAGCGGCCGCGAATTAAGGCACGCTTCTACCTGAGTGAGGAAGGTACTCATCTCCTCGAACGTCAGCTTGGCGTCGCCAATCACTCGTCGGAGATGGTGTTTGAGCGACTTGACTGCGGCTTCCCAAATGCCTCCGAAGTGCGGCGCTGAGGGAGGATTGAACCTCCACTCGATCCTCTCGGAGGCGAGGCTGTCGATGATCCGGTGGTTTTCTGGCGTGCCCGCGGTGAAGAGGGCTGTCAGCTGGGAATCGGCTCCCACGAAGGTTGTCCCGCAGTCGCTTCGAAGGCTGCGACAGATGCCTCGGCGGGAGACGAACCGCCTGAGGGCCGCAAGGAAGGCCTCGGCCGTGTAGTCGGAGACTACTTCGAGGTGTACGGCTCTGGAAGCAAGGCAGACGAAGACCGCTACGAAGGCCTTGTAGGAGCGGTGTCCGCGCCCCTTGGTTGTGCGAAGTTGAATCGGCCCGGCATAATCGACCCCAGTGTGAAGGAAGGGCCTCGCTGGTACCACGCGCTCCCGTGGAAGATCGCTCATCAGCTGTTGTGGTGTCGGCGCCCGCCATCGCACGCAAGGGAGACATCGCAGGATAGCCTCCTTGACCAGTGCTCGACCCCGTGGAATCCAATAATGTTGGCGGATTAATGAGAGAGTGAGCTGTGTTCCGCCGTGCAACGCTCGTTTATGGCAGTCGTCCACAATTAGCCGAGTGAGGTGCGAGCCCTTCGGCAGGAGGACGGGGTGACGCTCGTCATAGGCTAGGATGGAGTGCTTGAGTCGACCCCCGACTCGCAGGAGACCCTCGGTACCTAAAAAGGGACTAAAGCGAGCAAGTGAGTTTGATTTACTTAAGGCAAGGCCCTGACTTATTAATTTTAACTCGGCCCTGAATTTTTCAGATTGTACTCGCCGGATCCAACAAACTCGAGCTCTCTCTATCTCCTCTGCGGACAAAGTACTGGGGAAGCGCTGTTGAGTGCCAGTGGACCGATCCTCTCTTACTCTCAGCCACCGCCGACACCAGGCTGTCACGCGTAGGAGCCTCTTCAGGGAGGAGAACCGCACCAGCTCGGCGGCCTCGCTCATCGGCGCTGCTGTGGCTTTGACATGGACTCGTGTGCGCTTCTCCGGCAGGTGCTCTTCGGGGATGTGGCCGACGGCGGTCGGCCATGCGGTGGCGTCTAAGCGTAGCCAAGGCGGACCTTGCCACCACAGAGGATGGCTCTGCAGTTCCTTGGGAGAGAGACCTCGGGAAGCGCAGTCCGCTGGGTTGTCCTGGCCTGGAACGTGATGCCACGCAGCCTGCGGAGTGGTCCTCTGAATCTCTGAGACGCGGTTCGCGACGTAGGTTTGCCACCTGGATGGGTGGCCGCGGATCCAGCCCAGCGCGACGGTGGAGTCCGTCCATAGGTGAAGCGGCGCAGTCAGGTCGAGGATTGTCAAGGCGTGTTTGGCTAGTCGGCAGAGAAGGACGGCGGCGCTTAACTCCAAACGAGGTAAGGACACCTGTTTGAGCGGTGTGACCTTTGTTTTCGCGGTGATTAGGCGGACAATCCACGAGTCGTTTGACCATGTTTTTAGGTACACGACGGCGGAATATGCTCGTTCTGAGGCGTCGGAGAAGCCATGGACCTCGACGCGGGTGCAAGAAGGACCCAGATTAATCCAGCGAGGTACTCGGATTTGCTCGAGTACTGGTATCTGGGCGTGAAAGGTGACCCAGGCTGACGCGGAGGCGTCGTCGAGCGGAGCGTCCCACTCAAGTCCTTGAAGCCAAGTCGATTGGAAGGCAATCTTGGCGCGGACCACGACCGGTGCTAGCCAGCCGAGAGGGTCGAATAGCTGCGCCACCAGAGACAGTACAGACCTCTTGGTGACGGATGGCAGTGCGATGTGCCGGGTGGCGAAAGAGAAATCGTCCGTGGCGGGGTGCCACTGCAGTCCTAAGGTGGAGTGAGCCTCGTGTGGTCGCCAGTCACGGGTCTCGCGCTGCAACTGGTGCTCCGGCGGGATATCCCAGATCACCGCTGAGTCGCTGGCTGACCACTTCCGGAGAGGGAAGCCGCCCGCCATGCAGATACTGGACAGCTGTTTGCACATCTCCTGGGTCTCCGCCATCGTCGCTGCTCCGGTTAAGATGTCGTCCATGTAGACATCTCGCAGGAGAACGGCCGCTCCTAGAGGGTACTGCTTACCCTCGTCCTCAGCTAATTGCCTGAGAGCGCGCATCGCTAGAAACGGAGCACACGCTAGGCCGTAGGTCACTGTGCTCAGCTGGTACTCGGCAGGGCTGTCTTGCGGGGAATCCCGCCACAGGATCCTTTGCAGATCCCTGTCATCCGGGTGTACCAAGATCTGTCGGAACATCTTTTCGACGTCGGTGGCTAGACCGAAGCGGTGCCGTCGCCAACGGAGTAGCACGTCGGCGAGCGGAGGCAACAAGTTCGGACCCACCATCAAGTGATCGTTGAGGGTTCTTTTCGAAGTAGTTGGCGTGGAGCCGTTAAAAACTACGCGCAGCTTCGTGGTGACACTGTTCTTCCGCAGCACGCCGTGATGCGGCAAGTAATGCACCGGTCTGCGCGACGTAGCGTCCGGAGTCACGCGAGACATATGACGCAGGTCCTCATACTGCCGCATGAAGTCGGCATAGAGGGCTCGAAAAGGAGGATCCCGAGCGAAACGTCTCTCCATGCTGAAGAGAACTCGTAAAGCCGTGGAGCGCGTCACCGAGAAGTCTGGCAGCGGGGCAACGACCGGCAGACGTACGACGTACCGACCGTCCGCGGACCGCGAATGTGTCTGGCGGAAGAAGTTCTCGCACTGTTGATCCGCGGGTGAGAGAGCTACCGCGGCGTCGGGTAGCTCTTCTTGCTGCCAGAACCTTTGTACGAGAGCGCCTAGGTCTTCCTCGACCAGGCAGTGATGTGCTGACGCATGGCGCGATGTGGACGTCGTACCGACGGCCCCAGACAATATCCAGCCCAGCGCCGTCTTTTGTGCCACAGGTTCCCGTGATTTCCCTCGTCGAAGTCCAGCCTGGAGGATCATGGCGTAGACGTCTGCTCCTAGAAGGATGTCTATGGGATCCGTCGCCAAGAAGTCCGGATCGGCGAGCTCCAGCCCATGGACGTGCGTCCACGCCCGACGATTGGCCTTGATTCCGCCTTCATAAAGTGTGAGCCGGGGGAAAACCAAGGCGGCCACGCTTATTAAAGGCCCGTCGCGCAGGGAGCGGATCTGAAGAGTGACTTGACCGCGGGCGAGGCCCGTCTGCTTGCCGCCGATTCCATACACGGCGACGGAGGTAGGAGACCGACCTAGGCGAAGACGTTGGGCCAAAGCTTCGGAAACTAGCGAGGACTCCGAGCCCTGGTCAACTAGTGCGCGTGCAGTGTGAGCGCGGCCGAACCGGTCCAGGACGCGAACGCGCGCGGTAGCGAGGAGAACTGTCGTCGTCGCCTCGACTTTGTGTTGCGCTAAGTGTGACGTCTTAGCGCTCTCGCCGGACGGACATGCCTCGTGGAGGGTCGTGTGGTGACGCGCGCGACACGACGAACAAGTCTTTTGAGAAGAACACTCGCTTACCTTGTGCCTTCCTAGGCAGTTCAGGCACAAGTCGTTCGCCTCGACGTGACGCTTCCTTTCCTCCGCCGTCTTGCTCTGGTAAAGGTCACAGAACATAATATAGTGATCCTGACCGCATAGGGAGCAGCGACCTCGCTTACTGTCCTGCTTACGCGTGTGAAGAGTGCGAGTCTTCTGTGTCGGACTTGGATGCGGTTTAGAAGAAATGGCTTCG